ACTCATTTGTTGGAAATATAGTTTAACCCCACCACATGAAACTTCGACTTGCAGAATTTTCACATTCATCAACGTCTGCCTTTATGATGTAATTTTCAGTGTGCTGTTTCGAGGGTTGCGGATAGTCAGGTGCTCAACCTTCATACTGAGTCGCATTCTTGGTTTCTGAATGTCGTCGTGTGGATATGTCAACGCTGAATTACATCTGATTATCTACTCCCCATGCAACTATGTATTTTCAATCTAAAAGCTTTTGACCTACAACGGGTATATGACACATTGGTTTTGCTTTCTACTTACGCAAACTTTTACAAGCAATTATCAGTCACCGCATTCCTTCGATGAATTGTTTCCTCGTACTTCATAGACCCCATGTTCCTTTTAATCCGGTCTTGTTTAAATGAAATTTTGCTTTCCTGTTTGACACCAGTCTCATCCTGCTTCGTGGCATCCTTTCCTAATGCATTTATCCAATGACATCCCTTCTTCGTGTTGATTTTCACCATTATCTACTGCATTTTTTCGACAGAAGTATTCATGTAGACTATTTACTAGGATTTTCCAAACTGGGCAAAACCTTCACTTGGGAAGTGATCTGTCCTGTTACACAGCCTATATATGCTGCCTCACTGATCTAAAAAAACATAAAGAAGTTATGTTGTTGCTGATGTTGGTTTATTGTTATTTTTGTTGTTGTTGTTCGTCCTTTGGCTGAATGATAGCAAACCCTCCGTTTGCTGGGACATTCTGTGTATAACCAGTCACATGATCCAAATACGTTCATTCACCCACATGATCTGTCACTCCCAAACAGTCCCAACAACCAGCACCACAAATGTAATCACACTGAATCAAATTACGTCATGATCAACCATCGACCGTACACAACGAAATCAGGAACACAAAGAACAAACTTGTGGATAATTCTGCAACATAAACAACGGTCGGGGATTCGACGAACCAATTTGGGTTCATATACACCAAAAGTAGATCCCTTATTCAGATTGAACTGAAAGACAAAAACTCATCCAAATTTTGTTCCAAAACAATTATCATGCACTCCGGGCATCGTTGTCCTGACGTGCGGTTGTCAGGATATGCGGACTGTTACTGCTTCTCGCTGTATTGAATCACTGAAAGTGGGGAGGGGGCGAGATGTTTTTGCCTGGAAACAGGTATGCAAGAGGAGTATATTGCGACTATTTTTAGTTACTTGTCAAAATCTCTTTCAACTATTGGCATCAACCTCTGATGACCTGACAACGTACAACCATTTCCTGATGAAAAAGCGGAACTGAATAATTATTCAAAATGTGACAAAAATGTAATGCAGGTCATGTCAGCACCAGTGAATATACCACCTCGGTTTTTAGGGAAGTGCCGACAAACAAACCCCTCAGCTTCAACACTCTGTGTAGAATAGTGAGGTCAAAAAAGTGAACTAATCAGGACCAGTCGCACGATGTACGTACAAAGGAGACAATCTATTGATTACCACATAGAGCGTCTTACCACCTCTCTCCTCCCTCGTTCTCACCGAATATGATGACATCGAAGCATTCACTCGTCAATTTATGGCTGATGCCAGCCATCCGCGATAAGTTCTCGCTCATTCTAGGCGGTCATCATCCACCCCGAAAAAGTTTTGTTACCGCCTCTGAAAGGACTACCCGTAGGCATTTATGGGCGAAACAAGATGCGCGAACTGCAATCACAACCCAGTCCATAAACCCTCACTGGTTTATTCCCGCGAACATTGAGAAGGTCATAAATTTCAATTTGACCCGGATAAAATTCTGCTCACTCAAAACAGGTCAGGGAATTGACATTCTTCTAACAACACGTTGAAAAGACCCAACTAAGTGGATCACTTTTACATCTGTCTGAACTTCACAAAGCGATGCCGAAACGAGTAACGATTTTGGGTAAATTGGCATACATACAACAACATGTCTCGTTTGCAACATGTCTTCCGAGGTCTCACAAGCGCACAGGATAATTGGAGGAACGGTCTGACGGTGGATGAGCACTTTTTGTTTACACTAATTTGAACGCAGTTATTTGCTCTAAGAGGGCTTTTTCTCATGTTTGACTGTTAAGAGAATCTGCCAGTCACGTTGTTTTTTCAACGTCCAAACATACTAATTACAACACATGCATATCAGCGCCTCTTGGATCAAATGACACAACAAAGCGAGATCATATTGAGATCAGTGAAGCTCGCTTCACTGTATCTCGCTGTACGATGATGATGACTATGATGATATTGGGAAATTAGAATGTTCAGCGGTAGATCATTCCTTTTCGCTGTGCCACTCCATAGACGAAAATATAATATGAAAACATCGTGATATTTGATTGACTGAATGACTATCCCCGTTCAAAATGCCATTAGCCTATTTGATCTGTACAGGAGGCCAGAAGATAAATCACTGAAAAGAATTCTTTGCTTCTAAATTCGTATTTTGATATATATAGTTTTGTTTGTCCGTATATTAATGAAAAGCCTAAGCTGGCGGTGAATGTGTTTGTGGACAAACATTTATCGGATCACGATAAATAGATGAGGCAAAGTAGCGTAAAATACTTGAACTGGACATGATAAGAGATGTGTTAGTCAAGAATGATTAAGACAGATGTGAAATTGTGTGAACAAAAGGACAGTAAATGAGGACAGGGAAAGCAAGTAAGAGGTGCCCTAGTACAGAATTCTCTTCTTTCGTGGGACCATGAATAACTGTAACTTATGCTTATCATCACCTGTCTTTTTCACTAAACTATCAGGATTCAACGGATGCAATCAGGATGTGAAAAGGTGTGACGGGTTGATGAATGAAACAATAAAGATAAGAACCTATGCGATGAAGCTGAGTAGCGAAGGAAGAAGCCGCAGAAGACAAATTGTTGCCTTGACATTGTGCATTGAATGCAATAGTCAGACCGGGAATGACAGAAATTTGATATTTCTGTTGGTTAGTGTCCTTGTACCACTGTTATTTATCTTATCATATGCGTAACCAATGCCAGAAATATGTAGCTGATTGCATTTGATTCAAAGGAATTGGCGTTATTCGAGTGGAACTCGGTCGCGATTCCATTTACTCACTGGGATATTAAGGGTTTAGCCTGAGTCCACTCATGCAACGATTCATCCTCACATTCATGTCTGGGCGTGATGACCGATTTATCGATTCATCTTGACATGATTCGCTTCCTTACCCGACCGATAGAGTCAACTACCGCTACGTTCGCACTACCCCCACCCCCACCCCATCCCTAACCCATTCCTATCCCTTTCAATCAATCAACGTGACTTTTGAATGATTGAATGACTATCCACGTTCAAAATTCCATTAGCCTTTTTGATCTGTATAGGCCCGAAGATGAATCAATGAAAAGAATTCTTCGTCTCTAAATTCCTGTTCTCATGTTAAAATGGGCATATTCTGGAATTTGAAAATATAATACAACTGAAAAAATAGAAACTAAACACAGTCATCTAACAACTCTGAAGATCACAACTTGGTGGTTGATGGAACAAACTACCGAGCATTTTGACTGAGACAAGAGCCACCCATCGATTTGGTTCTCAGAAGCGATTCCTGGAAACAATTCAACTGTCATGGCCCTAGTGTGGATTCAGTCCCGTGACTGAAAACGACCCTGCCCATTTACTTCATGCTAACCCTCAATCAAGATTCAATTTGTTTGTAAAAGAGATATCCTATCAATCAACTTCTCAAAGATTATGCAAATTCCATTGGCTTTTCACCTATCTACAAAGAAACATTCACCAAAACATGAATTTATTGAGAATGAGCTTGTTCTTAATTACACCTTTCCACAACGTTCAATACTGTGTCATTCTCATCTCTATCTTAGGGACATGATTTCCAGAACATTGAATTCGTCTCTATTATCCGTGAAAGATTTGTTCCATCACTACACACGCCAGGAAACGCCTGCAGCAAGATTAGAGAAATATTAGCCTATTACCAACTGTTCTGGCCCATATCGTACATTCACTTGAAGCTGCAATCCATTGTTTTGATAAATTTCACAAGTAAGTCCGTTCGCTAAGAGATTTTACAATTTAATGCCAGATTGTTGGCATCACGGCTGACAGCATGCTCTAATAGGCGTATGGTAGTTAATGTGACTGGTGAACACTTCATAGTGTAATAATTGCACTTGAATTCAACTGACTGTTTGCGCATTTACTTATAGTTTGAAGAAGGAAGATTCCATTGAGTTCCAATGCAGTCAGCGTGGTAATTGGACAGTGAAAAATGACCCCCGCCCCGCCGATCAATATTGAATTCCCACCCCCGTCTTCAATTTATACAAAAGGGTGACAAGCAGATGAAGAACAAACGGCTTTATATAATGCACATGAAGAACAATTTACTCCCATGATTCTATATCATCGTCCACCGATCGGGTGGCTACGAGCTGATATTTACAATAAAACTGTTAGCGTGCAATCTGCGTGTGTGTCTGATTGTTTGCCTGTGAACTGAGGTGAATTATGGCTTTGCAGATCAGATGCGAGGTTTTGCGGAGACAGAGTGGATCGCACATGTACAAACAGAAACTCAACCAGAATCTTCAAATATGCGATGATTTCTTTGCCTTCTGGGTAAATTCTGTTAGTGGATAAATGACATCAGACGCTCGGATTCGATTTAGTAAGAGTAAAACTCAGTTTTCACAGGGGAGCTTGGATACTCGGTCACATATTTAACGGCAATCTTTTCGTGAATGGATTTGTGTGCTTATCTGATGTTATAGAGGTTAGTTATTGCTGTGTTGGTTAAAAAGACAAACGAATAGAGTGATTTGAGGAAAGAACACATTAGGGTTCGATTCCGTTTGTTTCTTGTTGTTGGTCATCGACATCCAATGTCAGTTTACTATGGAGATAGGTCAGGTGAAAAATCGATGCATACAAACACAGCGAGATAGTGTGAGCGAAAAAAAACAAGGGAGCAAATAAGTTCTCAAGATAAGGAGGTTTCTGTTTGGGTCGTGGATTTTGAAACACCCTCATCGGTGTTGATGTTCTGTTCCGTCGGACAGTCATCATCATCCTCGTTCAACTCAGGCACTCGATGGGCCAAAACATCCCGTAAACTGAACTGTTTCTCGACCTCCTTCGAGTGAATCAGTTGCAATACCGCATCCTCACTGGGGCTGTGTGAGGCAATTAACCGACCTGAGACATCCGATTCCGTCGGATTGCATCGGGTTGGTGATGTGGGTTGGTTTGATGGATAGGAAGTGGATTTCACCGGGCTCTGTTCCTCACTGTCCCCGGATGGCAAAGATTCGTCTTCATCGATCGGCTTGTCCAAAGAGCATTTATTCAATTGGTTGTAGAGCCCAAACTGTTACAGGAAAAACGAAGGTAAAGGTGGCTAGTCACACTGGGGTACGATCACATAGACGCGAGAAATCAATCAAATCTGTAGACAATAGTTGGCATAACAAATTGAATATAAACCCACAGTTCGCGATTTATGGTTGTTTTTCTTTGAATTTTCCAAATCATCTTGGATCAATACAGTGTTGAGTTGGGTCATCGACGACATGATACCGTTATTCATTTATCTAATCACCTGTTTTGAAATGTCAATAATGTGGACATTATAACAAATATGTGGTCACACAGTAATCAACAAACCAAAGGCTCGTTGGGGAAAGTGAAACATTTTAACAGCTCAGTTTGCATAAATGCAGTATTCATAAATGCATAAAGATAGGATCCAAAACTGACTGTAAATCCCTTAGTTCAGATGAGCACAGTATATATTTATAAATATATATATATAACATCAATCTTTACTGATACGGCGCCAAAATAATCATGGACTAACGAAAAATATGGATACAGAAGTGAGGAAAACAAAGCAGTCAACTTAAAGGAATAACAAATTCTTTATTTATTCACTGTACGCAGTTTTGAATTTTTTAGTTCTTGTTTATTTTTGCACACAGAAAAGGATGTGTTCACTCCACTGACTTCGGCTGAATGCTCTATCCTGCAGTGTCTCCAGCCAAAGACAATTTTAATCTTTGGGGCCACGACATTGCCTGTCCAACTTGCTGCTTCTTCTAGCCTGGGCCAATAACTGGCAATAGTGCATGGTGTGGCAGACGGTGCTCAGGCAGTCGTAGAACGTGCCCTAGCCATCTAGTACGATGATCGGAAGTTATTTTGCTCAACGGAAGATTATCTGATCCTGGCACCCGTCGTCTGACTTCATCGTTATTCACGCGATGCCCTCATCATAAGCGGGCGATGTTGCGCAGACAACGGTTGTCGAATACGGATAGTTGTTGGACATGATCTGCTCAGAGAGGCCAGGTCTAGCAGCCATAGAGCAACACGGTGCCTACCGTTACGCAGTACACACGCCCTTTCTGTGAAAGGGATATGTCGTACCGGCGCCAGAGATTCCTCAAATTAGCAAACTTCAATCTAGCTTTGATCACTCGTTGAGAGATCTTGCCCACAGCACAGTCCATACCTTTTATGTAGAAACGTGAAGCAAAACATTCACCGCAAACTACTGACAAGCATTTCGTGAACTGTGGTACAATTTATCTTTTTGTGTTCAAAGTGGTTTTTAGTTCACCCCAGAAACTGTGCCCTCGCAATAGCAACAATCCTCTGCGGAGGTCCTCAGTTCAACTGAGATCAGAAGTTCAAACGGATGGCTCGATACACAGATTTGGCAACGTTCCAATGTTAAAATTTTATTATTCCACTCATTTTGATTGTGAAGAACGGAAAAATGAAACTGCGGTTGTTTGCGTCTGTGGCCGCATTTGAGGTAACTCGGGGATTTAGTACACTGGTCCAAACCAGCTTCGGAAACAGCAATAACATCACACAGTGTATCCGGTCTGCACCAATATACTATTTGAAGATGATAAAAATTATTTAAATCGAATCTCAAACATAAGCTGAAGTAGTTTTCACAATTAAAAACGTATATATAATCTTCTTTTGCCAACGAAAGTGAAACACAATTTATAAGAAACCCTTATGAGATTTTTTCTTTGTAATCTGAATTACTATCGTCACACACATCCCAAAAGAAACCCATTAAAGATCCCATATACTGCTGTCTGGTATTTCTACTTACACATATTTGGGGAATTTTTTTGAAATAGAAGAGTAGTGTTTATATGAAACTGGGGTGCGGCATCTCTTTATGGAGTCAACGCATTTCTTACTGCTTACTAAACTTTTCATTATTGCATCTAATTTGGCATTCACAAAGTGGTGGCTTTTACGCTTTCGCGGCGAAAAAGCACGTTGTGTTCTTGGAAATTTTTGAATAGAATTGATGAGTCTTGAATATCTGACCAGGCCCCAGCAAACACATAATGGAACTAGAACATACTCGCCAACTTTGAAGCTGGTACACAATGCCCAATTTGAATCACTAAAGTTGAATATGGTTGGAAAGAATGCTACTCACTTCCACTGTCGTTAGAATACAAAACGGTCTTCTTTTTGACATACTGCAACGATTGGAACGCTTCAATCACATTGGTGGTGTGATTGGGATCAATAGTGTGTGAAATAACTATTCGTCTGATCGATTAAACCGATCCACATTTGATCGATCCGGGAGGGAGCTCACACATGCGTCCTAACAAACCCTTCACGGCGCGCTCAATGTTTGTTGCTCCCGCAGAGCAAGTAACTGAACAGGCATAGAAAGGAGGAAGCGGAATCAGACGTTCTCTCTCTTTCAAACTTGTCGCCCGATTGTGTGGAACGTTTTGTTGAACAGGTGCTACAGGCTTCTTCTATTCACAAGCCCTGTACTGAAAATTGGTTTCCTTACAAGCTGATCGTTCTTTCGACTAAAGTCCATGAGTGTCCCACTGAGAGTGGGGATATCGATAGCAGTAGTGGTGGTGAAGTGTCTTTAATTTTTTCATCGGTCCGTTGTGGCCAGTTTTGTCGTGCCGTAGTTGGGCTGGCAACACGTTCAACCCGAGTTTGATTGGTGACCTTCGTATTGATTTTGCCTAATTAAGTGTTTTCGGTGTTTAAAGATTTCTCATTGTCCTGGTTAAATTTTCACCGGGGTATGTTTGTACACAAGTGAGGTGATAACGCCAAACAGTTAAAATCCGACTTGTTCTTTGTAATGATGCTTGTGCTTGCTCTTGTAAATAATGCATGTTTAAGCTACGATTGTGTCTCACACAGGTGAGGGAACCGAGTCGGTTTGAGTTGCCCTTAACTTGGAATATCGATTGGAATGCATTCATTTATTCCGCAATTCCCCTTCCACTCTCTGCTCTTCCCGGTAGCTATGCTGTCCCATTTAATGACAAAAAATGCATCCCATTTGACGTCTGTTCATTAGACCGAAGCAACCGTGTTCGATGTGTGAATAGTAAAAAGACAACGCACTGGACGACAGAATAAATTATTCACGCACAAATGTAAGTGACCGATTTTGTACACCGTCGACGGTGGATGTCGTCGCTGCTAGAATTTGATCATCATCATCATCATCATCATCATCATCATCATCATCATCATCATTATGGATGAGTGAACACAATGAAATGTAATGGTGTCGTGAAACGGTCGGTCGGTGTAGATTTGCCGCCGAACTGATTGATTCAACTGGAGTGATTCAAACGTCCCGGAGTAATTAGAGCATTCAATATATACGTTTTTACAATTATAAAGTCAATACATTCTTGGTTGCATATATGAGCAAATAAATAAAACAATCAAACAAACATACAATTTGTGATCTAGTGTCCCATTCGGTACACACAGCAATGATGCTACCGAACGCAGTTTGACCCACGTCCCAGCACTTCATCAACATTGCAGAGGGAAAAGCGTGGTTTGGATTGACGGGTAGTTGAGGACAGTGCAAAATAAATTGAACTTGTTTTTAGAATCAAAATGATAGATGAATAAATCGCCGCGTATGCTTGATCGACTATTGGAATCAGTACTAATCAATCTACCATTCATTTAGCTGTAAATCACAGACCGACGTTCGCCACACAGATCACACTCGGGACTGGATAGTCAAGTTCAACGGGCAATCCACTTCGCCTAAGTAGCGTTTGGTTTAACCGTTTTGGCTATTTTATTTCCAATTCTCTATCAATTAGCCGTATGGGGGCTCGAAATGAGATTTCAGACTCTAATTGTCCGATTCCGTTATTTGAGAAGACAATAGACTGTGGTCATTAAACGCTAGCTGGATTGGTACTTATCGACTTCTGAAATGATTCAAGCGGCATCACAAGCAAAGGGATTTTGGAACCTTAAAACCTTAGAATCAAAAGGAACATCAGGTAACTGGGTGACAAATTTCAGGTGAGCAGACTAGTCGGAATGGTAACAATTAGTCCACTGGAAATACCGGGGAGCACGGAGAGACCTACTTTTTGGGGAGAGGACAATCTCAGAAATGATCAGACAACTGAAACAAGGGCGAATAATTGATTTGATCAAAGTGGGGGAACATACCATGATGAAAGACAATGATTCAGTACAAAATACTTCTGTAGAAACCAGCTTGTACTAATTTTGGGAAAAACTAACAAAAAGGTTCGTTTTACAAAAGAGGATTATTTGATTCGATCGTCTTTCGTGGTCAGAGGCAGAGTGAGAATGAAAAATGTGATGGCTACGCTCCGGATAAAGTCAGGACAGTTTGATTGACTGTAGAAAAAAATCTCCTTTGTGGTGATGCCAAAAAGGCGATAGCTAGCTCAATAGCTGTGCTATCCAGAAAGACTGTGTACAGAATTCCATCAATGGTCGAGGCGATTGGAACCCGTCTACACAACGCCCCCGCGTCTCCCTTTTAATGATCTCAGTTTTTTACGCAGAACATCAGACCTCCTTTGGCTACCTAAGTTATTACGTCCATCAAGGCTGGTTCTTTCACTTATTCACTTACAAGCACACACACGCACGCATACAAGCATGTATACTAATTAACTCAAACCTCTTTCTACTTGATTTAACCGCGTTCATACATGTCCATATAGCCAATTTTGTTCTTTCAGACTGAGCGATTAACCGATGACTGAGTGTTTTGTAACCTAGCCACATGACTTCTCATTTGTATTGTGCGCAAAGCAAACAAAAGTTTGGTGTGTCTGTGAAGTCTACAGACTAGGCAATACAAGGCTTATTTTGTCCTACTCAAACAGTCTGGACAAAAGTTTACATTGCATTACGTCAGTACAAAACTAACCGTGAACAATTTTCTTTGGTTGGATCCAACTCCCTAAAGCGCAACCTGGAGCATTTCGTCCTTCTTCAGGGTTTTGTGGCCACACATATTACTATTTTTCTTTTACATTGAGAGAGAATACTCGG